ACCTTTCTTCCGAAGAATTCTTCCACGTCTTACAAAGGAAGTGGTCTCATTGTCCTCCAAAGCTCACGAGCCTTCTCCTCAGATTCAACCCTCCACGGTCTCGTCTGGACTTTTACCATATGTATACTGTCAGATTCGTTACCGGCCCACGTTTTTGGCCATTACTTTTCATGCCTTTTTCTGGCATCTTGGCCGGCAGCATTGTCATCAGTTTCATAGGATATGTAACCTTCAGTTTCACAACGTTGTCATCGATTTCACAAGATTGTCATCGATGTAGAATGTTGTCATTGATTGGTGGTGTTATTGAAATGGGATGAGGGGTTGTGCTGGAATGAGGACGTGGATGTCATACGGAGAAGATTGTCATCAATTTCATCAAAATTATTTGTTTTCACCGCATTCATTGTCAGTGACTTCACAAGATTGATGTATGGATGTTGTTGTTGATCAGTCTTGTGAACAAACGCAGCCCAGCTCCAAAGCAAAACCACAAATAACCTCGAAAAAGTCTGTACCGTTTTCAAGTCAACCACCGCGGAAGGGTTGCATTTTCATGCATTTTCAAGAAACGACAACCTGGTTTCGGCCTCCCGTTCTCATAGATAAAGTTTGCTTCTCGCTGTGTCTGATTGGCTGCTAAGAGGCCCTGCTCGCGCGAACATAGACTTTATATTTTTATAATACATATTAATCCATTTTGTGTTACTCGAAAATGACAGCACGAGACCTGCATGGATTTGTACTTTCTTGAACTTTTGAACTGGAGTGACTTGGAATCCAAGGCCACGACTGGAGTGGTGCATCGTCTTCCTCTGCCTCGGGGCATTGAAGAGATGTTTAAAGTGGCCACACCAAACCTTCTGATGCTCATACATATATAAATGTATGTATACAGTTATATATATAATATATATACACATTCAAACCATAACAAAGCAACAAATAAAGTCATCCCAAATCAAGACAACCGTTTGTTTATCTCATGCCTCGTACTTGGGCATTTCCAAATTTTCTTTGTGGGTCCTTCAGGCTGTGCGCTGGCACCAAGGCAAATGAGGATCAAAGCCACTCAAATATCGGCGATCTAATCTGCCTGGCAGCCCGCCCACCACAAACAAGTGCAAGAATGCAACACGGTCGTGGTCCTGACATCTTTCCCGCGGGCACGGCAAGGACCACCAAAAGTCTGGGCAAGCAATCGAGCTTGTGAAGATCCATTTTGAGCTTTTCCTCTTGGTACGCAAATCCATTCTAGGAAGATCGGATGCAACTCATTTCATGATAAAGAATGTCTCGGAATTAAGCGGACTCCAAGCTGCGGGTCGGTTCTGTGAAAAGTACCAGTATGGAAAAGATCAAACGGGGCACCTGCTGTTCAATGATTCCAACTATCAGCCAACACGTCCGGTTGTAGAATCGCTGTGTTTTGACCTCCGTAGTCCCAAAAACATCTTCCTTTCTGCTCTCACGATTTAGGTGGCGCACATCGCTAAATTGTAATTCTTCAAACGTCAATCATCTCAGGTTCCAACAAACATTCAGATCGTTTAGAAGTTTAGCAAATGGAGTTGCCCACACAAGGTCTTTTTTGCCAAACCTTCCTGCTTATAATGGTTTTTGCAAACGTTGCCAGGATTGGCTTTTCTGGAGTCTGGACAAGATTCTGTCATTGCAAGATGTCACGTTGTCGTTAGCGTTTTCTCTTGGAGACTGGGGGCGAGTCATTCTATATCCTTTTGACATTCTGAGGCCGGGGGAATCCCGGAATCCCCAGGCACCAACACTGGAATCACTGGAATGAGCAGAACCAAGGCGAGGACGGGTTGCAAGACTTCCAGATCAAAGCGTGCGAATGCCTGAAATCGGATCGCAAACAGTTTAAGCAATGACTATAGTTTGGGTCTATCCTATTAGCATTAATTGACCGTGGATGATGATGGTTTCTAAAGGCCTTGTTCAAAAATAGTGATATATATATATATATAATTGTTTACTGACTATTACAGGTACTAGGACAGACCTATAGTAATGGTACTATATAATTGCATTGAAATTGACCGGTTTAGCAAACAACGTCACAGGCAACATGTCCTGGATTCTGTGGCAAGTGCAGTTTACGGCTTTGAAGCAATGAAACACAAAACATGACAAGCTAACTTTCGATGAGAATGGCTGAAAAACCATGAAAAACCTGTCAAGTTCTTCAAGAGATGTGGCCTGGTAAAGATGACCACGAGAATGGAACCGAAGCGACGGTATGGGCAAAGACCAGTTTGGTGGCAAAGCCTGGCAGTGCACCCAAGAAACAAGACCCTAGTCTAGTCTTGCCGTGACTCCGCAAGCCGCAAAAAAGCAAATTTGAGCTATCTTTGACTCACGCTGCAGCAAAACACGATGGCAGCACCCAACGTCCTGATGAAGAGGCCTCGGACCTAAGACATCAGCCCATTGGACATGTGGACTTGGTGGGCATAACAAGTTGCCATGGTACACATGAAATGCAGCACCAACAGCACCAACTAACGGGTAGAAACTGCTTGCTTTGTACCGTGACCCAACAACGCCCTTTTCACGGCCCCACCTCATCTCGCTTCCCGCCTCAGTAAGAAGATTAAGCCATGTGAAGTCTGACAGTCTGAAAGAGCAAGCTTGGAGCTCAAATTCAGCTCTGGAAATCTGTGCTGACCAAGCTTGCCAAAACTTGCCAAAGGTGCTGAGGGCAGGCAGGGTAGAAGAGTAGATCCAAACGAAGCCCATTTAGGCAAAAGAAATGCCAATGGCACGCCTCCTTCTATGATTTGAAAGCAGGGAGCCTCTGGAGCTGTCCACAAATTCTTGCGCTGAGGGCCCGTGCCATGTGCTCGTCTGCCTGCATCAAGCGGAAACACAAACACTGACCTTTGAAGACCCCAAATCGTCCAAAAGCCTCCACAAAGGCTTCAAACAATGTCAGAATAGGACATCTTCGAAAAGCCACGCCCAGGAAAAACCTACTAGCTGTTTGTTTAGCAGTTTAGCATGCCAAAAAAAAGCCTCAACACCTGGAGCTGTCACATAGTCAATTTGGCTCAACCTATGATTGCCTTTGCCGGCGCATTCTACAGTTCAGTTCATCAGCTACCTTCTGTTTCACCCAAACGAAAAGAATCTCGTGATGCTCTTGGTCCACCACATGATCGATTTGCAGGCCAGAACTAAACATGCCTATCAAACACCAAAGGCTAAGCTTACCTTTCAATGGTGAGATGCGACACCGCATGCAAAGCTTCCAAACTCAGATTATTGCTCTTTTATGCTCTTTTGATCTCTTTTGCCCCGATTGAATCGATTAAACTGTTACATTGAAGCCTACCCAACGGTTGGGTGGTTTGCTTCCATCCTTTGGATGCTAATGCTTGCACCAAAGCGGTGACCCCCTCGGCCTGTCTGGCTAATGGCTCTGAAAGAGACTCGAGCCTCGGTGAATATCGAGCAGCGGATCTCGAACGCTCATGTTTTTCAGAAGTGATGCAGTCCTATGATAAAACAAAGAAAATCGGAGCAAGGACGCTACTAGGGGCTCCTGGCCGTACTACAAGGAGCAAGGACGCTGCTACTAGCAAGGACGGGTTAAACATCTGCTCCTTCGAGTTTAAGCGCTTAGGCTCTCAGGTCCCCGGCGGGCCCGGCTCAATCGGCCTTCGTCCATCGTAGGGAAAAGCACAGCAAAGCACAGGATCAGCGAGTTTATTTACGACTTGCAAGTCACACGTGGTTGGCACGTATTCAAGCCATGCACCTGAAAAGGTCGAACATGCTTTCTGGCACTCAAAGTTTTGAACTTTCATATCTTAACGGTATGATAGAGGGTTTTGTTTTCGACACATTTGCAAATGTGACACCGTGTCTTTCAGGACCAACCTTGTGGCAAGGCCACGTGCTACGCTGATCACGATGCTGTAAGTCATAATTATACTTATAATGGTGGCTTCGTTGAAGGTGAATCGACGGGCACCCAACTTTATATACAAATTGCAATTTATGCAGAAAAGGTTTGGAGCTTAGGGCCACCCAAGTGGCTCAATCACTGACAAAGCTGTGGCTATCTTTTCCATCGCAGTCCCCACCACCTGAGGCCGAATGGTGTGCGGCTTTAGCACCAGCATGGCAACAGCCCTTGACCAAAAAACATCAATTGCACAAAGAACTAGCACGCTGCAACATGGGTTTAACAAACAGTAAAAATATCTGACACGGTCACATCGTTGTTGTTTGGCTGATTGTGCTTCTCCGGATGCCCAGGCTCACCTTCGAATGACGACTTGCAAATCTTCATAAGCACAGCACCATGGTGGTCGCAAGCACGATAGATATGGTGGTGGTGACTAACCTCAGTTCCAGAGCTATGTTTCTATTTTCCTCAAGCAGGTGGGGGGCTGGTCATAAGGCTGTCAAGTAGGCCTGGATTTTAGCAGTTAAGCTTTGAAGGTCATGCCTATGCACGGGTTGTGAAATCTGCGGTTGTGGAGGGCTGGGTTTCAGTTGAACTTTCATATTGGTTTAATCATTTAATCGCATTGAAGCTTGCTCAGCAAGTTGATCAGCTGTAGTTTCCAACCTTTGGAATCAACTCGACCTGGGTATCCGCGCAAATCGCTGTTGCGACCTTGGACAAGGGTTTAAAAGACTCTAGTCTATCCTGGTGCATTCAGCGAGCACAAATCAGTTCTTTCCCCCGGTTTTGTATGAGGTTTTGGGACTGAAACATCCGCGTGATATTAGGCATCGTAGCTAAACTACCTGCAAGCCAGCAAACCTTGAGAAGTTGTAGGGATCTTGTGGGATGTCATGCATGGTGTTGCCACCAAATGATCATGTCAACTCTACCTCGAGACCTACAGGGTCCTCTCCATCTTTCCCGACAGGCACTTCCGCTACAGCAGCAGCTGGAATGATGTGGTGCTTATCCTCAACTCTTGTTCTTTTCAGTTTGCTGTGTAGCTAGCTCACATGTATGAAGTCGGGTGGCCAAAACAAGGGCTGCAGCAGGAGTCTGACCAGGAGTGCGCCAAGGGTGGAAAATGAACACAATAAGTTCTCTTGACTCTCGACACAAGAATAAGGACCGTGCGTTTTTTCAAAGCCGGGTCCCCGACAAGCTTCACTACCACGAAGGTATTCCCGGCCTGGTTTGGGGTTTGGTAAGATGCTCCAATGCAAATCCTAGCTTTGCCTCGCTCTTCACAAGCGGCATTTTGATAGCCCTCTGGGTCCCAAGAATATATATATATATATATATACATATGATAACAAAGTTATCACCAAACTGACGAGGACACCAACATCCCTTGCAGTAAAATGCCAGCTCGGAAACTCGCTTGGGTTTCCTCGACGTTTGAAGTGCAAAAGGACAAACAACATCACTAGTCCAATTGGATCCAATTGGTTTATCTTGCAAAGATCCGGTCTCTCTAGAGGCTGCAGGATGTGAACCCGTTTTGGGTCTATTTGAGTTCGAAACAAGTGGTTCCAGTTTGCTTCTGTTTCCAGCAAAAGCACCCAGGTGTGTTGTGAATACTCTACAACAATCAAGCGCATGGTATTAAGTGGCTGGAACACGTGAAGCTTCTTTGTTTTTGAAGAGTTATACAGTTGCATAGTGTTGTTTGCACATACTTACGTACTCAAAATCATTCCATCTTAGAACTCCACTGCAATCCCACTGCTTGCACAGATTGTAGACCCTGCAGTTATATATATACGATTTCAACTTGCTCAAAGCCCTCCCAGATTAGGCGGATGAAAAACATACGCCGATCGGACAGCCTTCACAAGGCACCCGTAAGGACAACGCGAAAGCAATAGCGCCACGAAGGCCACTGACCTCAGAAATCTGCAAAAAGTCATCCAGCTATCTACAGCAAGGCTGAAATCCTTGGAGTAAACGCACTGGTCTACTACTGATCTACTCATGTGTGTGTTTTAATGGGAAAGCGTAGAACAAGTAAGACACTGGAAGGGCACATGCGCTTTGCGACAATGCGTTTGAAGAGGTGGGTTCATTCCAGACTATGCTTATTCCAGGCACACCCGGAAACATTTTGATTTCATTGTTGTTCGTGAAGGAAGCACCAATCAATGAAAATGGCCTACTTGTTTTGATTTGTGTCTCCAAGGTGGGCTCAGTTGCTTTGAGTGAGTCGTGCGATCGCACGATCGCGCTTCCAGCCTGAACAGCCACTTGCTTCGATGCAAAGTAAACGCGCTACGATTTATTGTCTTTAGACTCTGGATCAACAATATTGGGAAACAACCTCTGTCTTGGATGGCAATCATCCTGCTCAGCTAGGTTTGTTCTTGATGCTTCTCATGCTTCTCCCGCCATTCGCCATGCATTGAGTTTCTCTTGCAAAGACCGTTGAACTACTTACTATATCATCTGACTTTTTGGGAACTTGAAGTCTTCTTGGAAGGCTAATTTTTTGTGAACACCAACAAACAATCAACTGCACTCTACTTTATTCTACTTCCTATTTCTGCCTAAAGCTTGCTCAGCTGTTTCCAATCCACAGACGCGCTGAGCTGGACACCCACATGACCACACTCATATTGTTGCTGATCTTCCGGGTCCTTCCAAATCGGATGTTCAGTGCATGCGTTCTGACGGAACGCTGAACTCCGATGTTGAACCAGAAAATTGTAGTCGGCAACAAATACATGGCTACAGCTAAACAAAAGCAAAGGGACATATCCTGCCTTGCGCCTGGAAAGCCACAAAAAAACTGAAGCACACATGTTTCATGAATGATATGCATAAGTGCATAAGCCCGCTTTTAGGTTCAAGTTCTAAAGAGCAGCTTAGAAGCAGGAGACCGACAGGCAAACCTTCTGCTCTACCAGAGTTCACTTTCAGCCTTTCTAAATGGAATGCCCGATGATAGTTAATCAGCAACCTCAGTCAAGATTGGTGCCCCCTGTACCAGTTAGGATAAGGAGAAACTGGACCCGATTCTGTCTCGCGTAGGAACATCGCATGTTCGAATCAAGGGTGCAGTCTGGCCAACCTTGGAATTTGACTATTGAGAAATATCGAACATATGCTTTTGGATAGGGAAAAAACAACAGCTTGGCAAAGGTCTGCGCCTTCTACACAGGTTCAGCATCAGGGAGAGTGGAAAGACCTCGCAGCACGGAGGCTTCTGGGGACCATTTGGCCTTGTGTTCCACCATGACGGATGATACTCTTGGCTTTTGGCCGAAACCAAAATGGCTTTGTTTCTCGCCTTGAACTGCACAAAACAAAGGGCAGTTTCCCCAACGTTGGGTCACAACTCTAGCACTGATTCTGCAATGGTTTGGTAGGTGTGCAAATCACCCCCTTCCTTTCCTATTCCTTGCAATTCCAACATTTCCATCTTTGTCTCTCTTCCTTGCTAAAAGTCCTGCGGCCCAGTGACATGCGCAGCCCGAGCCACGATGATCGCAAGCAAAGCGAAAAAGATACAGCCACCATGCCAGTGGAAGCGCCCGATCCTGCACGTGGACACTTGTCACGACTTGTCACTTGGCAGTCTGATAAAATGCACGAGCAATTTGAGTGGTAAGCTTTAGGAACAACTCTTGCGTTCACTCGTGGCGACCAAGGTTGATGGATTTGCACTAGCAATCATCTGGTCTTTCTTGTTTTGGCTAGAAGCAGGCATCAAGCAGTTCCGCGGCAAAGACAAAACCCAGGCAATCTACAGTAGTTCTGCTTTGAGAGACTTCTGAAAGAGTTAGCACGTGGGTTGGGGGAGATACCAGACAGGTGGATGCCATCAGTCTGTGCAATGGCATTGAAATGGAATGCAATAGAACAAGCAAATCCATAGCAGGTTGAAATGGCTTTGACCAAAGGGGCAAAATTGGTATCCCAACACAAAGGGCCTTTGGAAACTGAGGTGACTCAAAATGTCTCGTCTGAGGATCCAGCGATAAGGCCGCAACCACCCCGAGATAGACAAAGACACCAGCCCTCAGTTGGACTGAGGAGTGACATGTTTGGACTAGTCGGGCCAAACAGGTTGACGCGTCAAAGCAATCACAACAAATTCAATGAGGAGGGGAAACGGTGTTACTTTGCGCGTCTTTGGAGTTTGCAGGCTTAAGTCCACTCTTAAGGTCCCTTGCGAGATCTGGTGCAAGTTGAGGTTTCAAGAAATCCATAGAAATCCTCTCATCCATTGCACTTCTCAACCGGTAACCTCTGAAGCATTCGTCTAACTATTCCGGGGATTGCTTTTATCAATCGCGTATTTTAAAGATAACGCCCCTTTTCCCAAAGCTTTGGCAGTTCACGGCTTGCCATCGCAAGCAAGTTGACTCAATTTTTCAAGACTGGACGCATGGAGAGCGCTTCACAGGTTGCATGAGGTTGAAGTTTGTGCACAGATTGAGGTTCCCTCCACCGAGATCTTGAATGTGTTCACTGATGGTTCCACGCAAGATGGTCCCTCTCCGGCTTCCTGGGCAGCAAGGAGTGCTGAGCATGGACGTCTCATTTTCAGTGGGTGGCTCTCAGGACTTCGACAGACAATCAATCGAGCTGAAAGCCGGGTGCTTTTACAAGTGCTCCGTTGGGACTAGCTTTGCAGCAAAACTTCATGTTTGGGCTGATAGCTCCTATACCATAGAGAGTCTTCGGAATCTGCAAGTTCTGACCGCCTTTTCCGCTGGAATGGACAATGCAAATATCTGGAAAGAGATCTGGACCTGTTTGCAAAATTTGAAGTGTGAGCTGAGGCTGCATAAGGTTCCTTCACATGAGGACCCGGATGCTGCTGCTGATCCGCTGGCTGAATGGGCTTTGAGAGAGAATGGTTTGGTGGATAGTGATGGTTGCAATGAGACCCAGCTGGTTCATGCAGATCTGGAATCGTTTTTCGGAGTAGAAGCAAATGAAAAGGCATGTGAAGAACTTCTCCAGGTTGCATCTAGCGGTTGCTGAAGCTGACGTTTCAGTCCGTGGGGCTCCTGATTTTGACCTTGACGAGTGTAGCGTCGCGCTGGAGCTTGGTGATCGACACTTTGAACCAGTCTCGCATTTTTTGAGGCGCTGAGAGTCTAGCACCCGATTGGATCCTTAGGGCTGATTTGTGTGGTGAATTGAGCTTTTCATCCGTGGACAAACTGCATACTTGGGCTCTGTCCTTAGAAGGATGTGCTGACTGTGACACGATGGTGTCACACATAGAGATTTTCGTTGCTTTTAGGCTGCATTGTCGTGCCACGATCGCCTCAGTTTGTTCCTCACAACTTGTGAATCCCTATCTGCCACAAACGCTGGCTGGAGATCTCCAGGTTTTTCGATGTTTGTTCAAAGCCTGGTGAGAAAGATTGAGATTTGATTACATCCAGGATCATGTTGACCTGTCTGTTTGTGGTATTCATTGGTAGCCTGCTGCGTGGTTCCCTTGGTCTGACCTGAGTGCTGTCCTGGATGAGCTGCGAAGCTGATCATTTCGTCTCAAGGACTGTCACGTCCGAGGCCGAAGCGGAACTGTTGCACCCGGAACGGAGCTTGATGTAGTTCTCTGATTCGCCGAGACGGCGGTCCGCAACAGTCCGGAGCTTAATTTCCCTCAAGCTTCACTCCAGATCGCTCAAGTGTCTGACATCTCACACGAAAGGATGATAGTCAAGTGTCACGATACTATGGGCGGTGGCTTCTGCACCAAGGTTTCATATAACTTCTGTGATCTAAACAGTACGGTTTTGCACCACAATGTGTCCGAAGACTGAAGAGTCAAAACCGAGCTCGGATCACTCAAACCACGAGCGGAACATTCGTTGTCCAAGCTCCCGAGCTCTGCGAGCTTGGCGATAGTGCCAAAGATCACCTTCGAGGACACCTGACAAATAGCCGACCATCGCACGAGACCGTCTCAGTCGACATTGGGGCTCACCGGGCTCACCGCACCCTTGTTTTGACATGTTTTGACATATCTCTGGAGATCTGTTCAGAAGGGTGAGGCTGTGAGGTCTTTTGAAGGGTGACCCAACTGCTCGACAGCGTCAGAGTGTTCACGGTTCCCAACTGCACAACTGTGATGCAAACCGAATACCCTGAAAAGGGGTCAGTGCGTCGAGAACCGACATTGTTCTCGTGAATTCGGCACTGTTCCTGTCTGTTCCTCGGGCCTTCGAGGGCTCTGACAAGTTGTACCAATTGTAGTGGGCCAGTACCACGCCTCAAAGACTGCTGAGCAGGGGAAATGTGTCAACCGGAGATATTTTATGACAATTTCCAGAAAACTCCGGAGTTAGACATCACGGCCTCAAAACTACTCAAAACTTACCACTCTGTGAAACTTAGATCATGTAAACAAACAAATATATAAACATCTGGCTTCCTGGCCGAAGCAGAACAGTGCAGTGATGCCAGACAGGCCTCTGGCGGTACGAAAGCCGGTTTCGCAGAGGGCTTGACTTAAAGCTAGAGGAAAAGGGGCCAACGATGGGTGAAACTACAAGTGATGAAACATAGTGAAACTGTAACCCCCCAATCGTTGTATCAATATTAGAGATCGAGGGCCTCCAAAATAGTTCATGGGACTGCCAGCAAGTTCAGGTGGTGGACGGTAGCGGTCTTTGTTGCCATGTCTCCATCTAAGGGCATAAAAGAAACACACAAAAGAAACCATGGCAGTAAGGAACTTAAGGTCGGGGCCTGCAGTTTGCCCCATGTACACAAAAACAAGCAAAAACAACATCTAATGTAGCACGCAAATGCACATGGTAGGTTCGACCTTCTAAAACGGATCCTCTTGTCAACTATCTTCCATCTGTTTCCTACTTGTCGACTTCGTGCCTAAGAGTTGCGTCACCGAGAAGGTCAGGTATGCGCCTCGAGCAAGTGCCCACTGGCGCACAAGGTCGGCGCATAGAAACTGATAACGACTGATAACGCTCAAGTGTTTTTGGACCATCTCGGCCAGTGGACCAGAAACCTTGAACTTCGGCGGTTGAGAACCCTTAGCGAATTGAGGTGAGGAAGTCGCTTTCTACGGGCCAAGTGTTTCAACTAATGAGCAGTGAGACTTTAAACCGCTGTTTGTGACGGCCGATGCATTCTTACAGAAACGAGCACTTCTGAACAACATGACCCATTCTTTGATTGGATCATCCCAGTGGTTTCTGTGCCTGCGTGAACTTTTGCTAGCTCCACTACTTGGTACTGGGGGTGAAAACCTCCCTGTGGCAACGCCCGCAGAGATAAACTAGAAAGGTGTCAAGTTCCTTTGCGTCGTCTACCGGTAGTAACAAGTTCCTTTGCCCCTGAAACGCCCGGTGCCTAGGAACATGCCCGCAATCTCGTAGTCCGGAAACCTATGCGCGCTGCGTCAAGTAAAGAAAGGACGGAGCAAGTTAGTGACTCAGTGATGGACAAGCACACCAAAACCCAAACTATTGTAATATATATTTATACATATATAAACTATTGTATATATATAATTCTAAAACATCTAAAACCCAAATCACTAAGGCTCAGGCTTCCTTGAACAACCCTCAGCCCTAGCTGGCCTTCGAGATGCTAGTAGCTTCTTGTTCCCTTAATGGCTATCCCGTGCTTGTTAACTACTTGTAAGCTACTAGCTACGGCCTACCCCTCCCAACCGGCCTGAGAAATAACAACAAATATTTACATATATATATATATAATGTATATATATATATGTTGGCTCAAGATTTCGGCTCAAAAGGGCGATTGGTGGCTGGGCACTACGTGTGGACGTGCCGAAGGCCCTGGACATCAAGAAGGGAAAGATCGCCTTTTAGCTGAAGAATGAGAAGAGGGTACCAGGTGTGCTTTGGCTGCAATGGCAGCTGGATATGGCAGGACCGCCTCATCAGCAAGCCGAATCTCAGGTGTCATCACTGCAATACTCCATGGCAGCAATCACGAGTTCCTGATCTGAAAAGGAGAAGCTCGGTGACATGGGCAACGTGGAATTTCCCTAAGAAAGGGAACCAGTGGCCGAAGAAGACATGCCAAGAAGCTCTACTCGAGCCACCTCCTGGTCTGGTGGCCAACCGGCCAAAAGGGCCAAGAAGGTCAAACAGACGGCACTTTGCAAAGTGGTTCAGGAACACTGGGATGCCCTGCCAGATGCTTTGAAGACACAGTGTGAAGCCTTAGGTGTGCCACCGACTACACCTCCTCCTCCACAAGATCTACCCAGCTTGATCAAAGAGCATCTTCAGCCTTCCACAGGACCTGAAAGCTGCAGTGGAGAAGATAGTGGTCCCGGACAAGCCAGAACCGACTCTGGGGCACTACGCCAATTGACAAACAAGAAGGCTGCCATCCAATCGAAGGCAGATGCAGTCAAAGCCCAATACACTTCGTTGTTGCAAGAGCTCAAAGAGCTGCAGGGCAAGATAGAGAGTGCACAAAAAGATCTTCAACAAGCCACTACTCTCTACAACAAGCAGCTTGAAGAGGACAAGCAGGCAACAGCGGAAGCAATGTTGACCCTGATGAGTTGACTCCAGAGAATCTGATGGCCATTATGGCCAGTGTCGGTGTACAAGCCACTCAGACACAGATTCAGGATTTCGCTCACAAGCTCGTTGAGAACGTTGCAAAAAGAAGGAAGTGCGGGTAACCCTGCCACGCAGTTTTTCATGATCAGAGAGAGTAGCCAGACACTTTGCACTCATCATGGGGAAAATGATGACAGCAACGAGTCTGCCGGGGAAGATTCTGGCTCAGACCCAAGGGAACAGCAGATGGCCGAGCCTGGGGTAGCATCATCTTGCCCCAATGAGGTGATGCATGAGGATGGCAACCGCTATCCGAGTTTTTGTGGAGGCGCAAGTTCTCTGGAAATGACTCTGGAAGATGCAGCACCTATGGAAGTTGAAACCTATGAAGAAGCCAAGCAGGTGGCCCAGCAAACACTGGACTACGTGCTACAAAACTTACATTTCCGTCTTGGCAATCCACGAAACAGATGCTATGCCAACGCTCCTTTCCGTCTTTGGGCATGGGCAGGAAGCTTCTTGTCAGGTGGAACAAGACAGCCACGGCAGTGCTCACAGCCCTGGCGGATGACGAGATTGTGCAATTGCCGCAACTTCAACCTTTGAAGACTCTATGGCAAAAGTTTGATGACAATGTACAGGACGATGCAGCACATTTCCTTCTTGAGCTGAAGGACCTTGCTCAACTTATGCAGGTGATCATGCAGCGTTACCATGTGGACCATCGTCATGAAGTGCAACAGAGGACGGAATTTCCGGCGCGTTTGATCTTTGAAGACAAAGGGCATCCACAAGAATTTGAAGAGCTCATTAACCACTGGGCAAACCAGGCAGAAGGTCAAGTGCTAGCAGGCAGAGGGCTTTGGGTGGCTCAAATTGGCAGGTACACTTTCCAGGATCTTGAGTGGACCAAGCATCATCAAGCTCTGAATGTCCCGTCAATTTTCAACCTGCCGTACGCACTTGATGGTAACAAGACCCAGACTGTACAGTACTCGCTGATAGGATTGCTATGTCACTCGCACAAAAGTGGTCACTTCTATGCAGTTTTTGCATATCGAGGCTTGTACTGGATTGTAGATGATGGCTCCTACCCCAGACTGGTGGCGCAGCTTCAAGAAAGTCTGAAGACACAAATAGTGCAGGTTTGGGCCATTCCGTCCAACATGCTGCTCCCGGATGCCATTCCGCATGACATCCAACAGAGCAGTGCAGAGCATAGTGAAGTGCCTCCAAACAAACGGCAATGCACACATGGGGTCAGTTTTTCCTTTGCCAATGTCACAAGCCTTGGTCAAGCAGTCAGACAATGGATTCTTGGCAGAGAGAGAACGCCCATTTTCCTTGCTGAAACCCACGTCCAGAGGATCATGAGAAAACGCTACAATGGTTTGGCACCAGAGGTTTTGGCACCATGGGAGAAGCAGCGGCCGTCAGCCCTAAGGGTGGAACAAATGGAGGGCTATTGCTGGTCTTCCCGGCGCATTTGCACTTCCACTTTGTACAAAAACAGATCATTGATGGTTGTGGCTGGTACGCAGTTCACTGGACTTTTGAGAATTTTGATCTCATTGTAGCCATGGTTTATTTCAAGTGTGGAGAAGACATACAGGGTGCCACAAATTCCTTGTTGTGGTCTGGACTCTTGACTTTTGTCACTAGTCTTGCAAAGCCTGTGATCATCCTTGGTGACTTCAACATCACGCCGGAGGAATTCATGGCAACAACCATGAACACGATCATGCAAGTACAGGTTGTAGCAACTGGAGAAGACACTTGTGCAACTGGCAGAGAAATTGATTGGGCACTTGTGACCACAGCTCTTGTGTCTGAAGTCCGCATTGAAGCAAACTGGCTTGCGCCTTTCAAACCTCATGCCCAGTTAAACTTGCACCTGGCCAAAGACATTCAGCATGTCACAGTCAATCAGATCCTGCGATATCAACCGGCTCCAAGGCTGGAAAAAATCACAAAGGAGTGGACGCAAATTTCAGCTTCAGACAAATGCCAGTGAAATGGTTGGATATGCCGACCAATGACCTCACCCAGAAAGCAGGCCAATTGTACCAGAAGATTGAAGGCTATGTTCTGCAGCAGCACTCGGCGCCCAGTTTTGGCCGGGGCACCACACTGAATTTTGTTCAGAAACCTTTGAATGATCCAGCAAACCGTGGATCTGGAAAAAGGGCTCCCTGGCGTATTGGTCTCAATTGGAGATCCGATTGCAGCAGCATTTGCACCGGCCTCAGAAAGAAGATCAAAAGATGCAGCACCTTGAACGGCTAGGCTGGCATGTTGACCAAAACTGGCACATAGATGGACAGATGACGCTCGAAGGATTCAAGTTGTTGTACAACATGCTTTGGAAGAGTCATGATGTTGAACATGTTCAAGTTCTTCTACAAGCAGTAAAACAACAACGAGAACTACACCAACAGCAAGTGTTTGACACAGAAGCACAAGAGTACAGAACGTGGATGCAAGCAGCATCACTCAAAGGCTGCAGAGGTCTTTTCAGATCTCTCAAGAAAGATGAACTGCCATGCATACGACCTTTCCAAGAATACCCCAGAAGTGAGAGGACGCAGCACAGATTGTTTCAGTGGGGAGAAATCTGGCGCACCAAAGATCAACCTCTGGAACCAAAGACATTGCAGGCACTCATCTACAAGGGACAAGAGTTCGCCAAAGACACGCTGCAGCCGCTACATGTGCATCATGTCTGGAAAGTCATCAAGCATCTCAGCCACAAGGCCCCGGGATTAGATGGCACAGGCTATGATTTCTTCAAAGAGTTGCCGTATCAAGCCATCCCTGACTTGATAGCCTTTTTCCATGAGATTGAAGCCACAGCCCAAATTCCCAATCAGTGGACCACATCACTGATTGCCTTGCTGCCAAAGAACAAGGACATTGAGAGACCAATAGCACTTGTTGCTTCTTTATACCGCCTACGGTGTAAAGTCAGAGCGCCATACACCAAACAATGGCAACAAGAGATTCAAGAAGTCTACAAATGGGAAAGAGCAGTACCTGGCGCGGAATGTCTCAAAGTTGCATTGAAGCATTCATGACGGAGCATCATCAAGCGCTCAAAAGAACAGTTGTCTCAGTCCTCATGGACATGTCCAATTTCTACGACCGGATTGACCTTGAGAAGCTGTCTGAACGTTGGTTGGACTCCAGCTACCCGGCCACCCATGCAGCACTGGCTATGCAAATCTACTGTGGCAGCAGAATCCTGGAAGCAGAAGGTGAAGCCTCCAAGACGATCTGGACCCAACGTGGCATCCTTGCAGGAGACCCACAAGCGCCGCTTGCTGCAAAAATCTACCTCAAAGAAGCTTTGCATGCCTTTTGCAAACGGTACCCACAACTGCAGGTAGACCTCTGGATCGACGACCTCAGTTTTGATATTGTTGATCGTGATCCTGCAAATGCGGTCCGTTTGGCCATAGCTGCCTTCAACTACATCAAAAGCTTGTTGGAGGCTGACAACTTGAAGGTTTCAGACAAAAAGACTGGATTCATCACTTCCAACAACTCGGCCAAGAAGCTCTTGCTTGAACAACTTCCCAAGAATGGGCCAGGTGTTCATGATGTGATGCGTGATGTGGGTGTCGACTGCGCCGCCGGCCGTTTGAGGCGCATTGCAACAATGAGGTCAAGAAGATACAAAGCACACAAGAAGACGAAGAAAATGCAAGCGTTGAAGATACCACAGCGGGCCATCAGACTTCGACTGTACAAGGGCAGCATTCTGGCCAGCATAAGCTGGGGCTGGGCCTGGCACCCCAGGTCCGCAAACGCATTCGTGCAACAATGGGAAGGCAGCTTGGCCACCAAAGAACAGGGACCTTAGACATAGTCTTCGATATGCATGGAGGCCACCAAGATCCCGACTATGCAGCCTTCTACGATCAGGTCAAGATTTTTCGGCCATCAGCAGGACAGATTGGCTCAAGCGGCTCATCCTTGGCAGGTGACTCGTGGACCCATGGCAGCATTGCAACGCTACCTCCTAGAGAAAGGCTGGAAGGCAACCAGCTTTCAAGAGTGGAACAAAGATGCCTGCAATGGAGCACCGGAGCTCCGCATTCACCTGAATGACGCATGGCCGACCATCAAGGCAGAACTCAAAAGGGCCGAGAGCACAGTGATCGTTTGCTTCGGATTGCAGCCAGAAGCACGCTACAAGAAGTCCAACAACCTCTTGATTGGATGCCCTGGAAACGCATGCAGAAGACGCTCAACCAGCGCAATGCCTGTGCACTCCAGACATGGACTCCAGACATGGCACCAAGGGGCACTTTTCACAAAGCTCAGTGATGGGGTGGACGGGCAACATCTCATGTGCCCACACTGTGCCCAACCAGCAACTCCAGTACACCTACTTCGGATGTGCAAGGAGACAAAGAGACAATTTCCAACACTATCAGCTGAAGATCAGTTTGAGTTGGAACATGGCTTGAACCTCGAGTTCTGGGCTCAAGGACTGCTCATGGTGCCGGCGCTCAATCTGGCCACAGGAGGAGCATCAGTCCAGGCCTGGGGAACCTGGACGACACAAGATGAAGCTCGCATTTGGTGACAATTGGGATCGCCAGCACCTCGGCTGACAGTCGCCTAAAACACTATTGTGCGCCACACTCAAATTGGAGGACAGCTCTATCGACAAGGAGAAGTCAATATTGCCAGGCAAACAAAGCTGGGAACGTGCATGGTACTACGGGCTTCGAATGACAGCCCATTACGTGACCCTGCATCAGAGGCTTGTTGTGCATGTCCAGAGCACACGTGCATGGGAGTGCTGGCAACAAAACAAACATGTTGAGATCTTTCATGATTTGCGAGATTTGATCACTTGGGATCAAAAACAAAGAATCCGAGTTTTGTGCATCAATGCCAGGCAGCTCACGGACATGCCCAACAACGAATGGTCACTCCGCAATCGCATGATGGATGCGACCAAGGCGGCCAGAGAAGTGGCCTTGTCGTTGCAACCATTGGAAAAAGAAAAAGAATTGAGGGCTCAAGACCAGCGTTACAAACGCATAGCACCACAGGCAATACAGCGCATCAAGCACTTGTTGAGTGACAAGCAACACTTCCTGAATGAGGCCAGAGAAACCGGGAAGCAAAAGCGTGATGAAGCACGTACCGAGAAACAGGAAGCACTCACTAACCTGACACACCACACCGCTCCAGGCAAACATGCTTGGATGGCCAAAGGCAAGGGAGTCCAATGCTCCAAATGCAAGTGCCGCCTCACGATGCACAGTCAACACCAAGAGATCCTGGCTGGCAAAGATGAGGCTTGTGCAGACAACCCACAGCCTCCTCTTGTTGGTGGCGAACCAACCAGTCAGACCAAGCAGGAGTTTCTGCAACAGATGATCCAGGGTCAGATCCCCAACATGGCACCGCATGGCTTTGTTGAAGCCACCAACTACATCTCGTGTGACAAGTGCCATGTGAAGCTTCTCAAGAACCCTTCCAAGGAGAAACTTCTAGAGCTAGCTCACAAGCAGTGCTGGAATCAGCATTGGAGCCCAGAGGCAGGCTGGAAAGGGCATAGCAGTCACAAACTGTGGCGCCGGGGTGGCAAGCTGTGGTGTGTCGCTTGCAAAGCCCATGCTCTGACAACTCCATTCAGAGCAAGCAAGGCCTTGCAAAACCAATGCAAGAGCCATGAACTGCAGACTACACTTCCAGTCTGCTTCCGGCAAAAGGCCGATCATGAGCCTGCAGCCTGAAACGAACCGCAAAAAAATATATATATATATATGTTATTCTGACATGTTGAATTCTAAGAAGGTCCAATCATAACGTTGTACCCGTTGTACTCAAAATCAAAGTTGGTGGATCCACAATATCTATATGTTCGTCTCTTCAGTCAGCAGACTGTGAGAGAAAAATCTAATCGCTTGCTCACCTGAGCATCTCATCCTCCTGCCTTCTTTTCTGATCCCCCATCTGCTCTGCTGTATAAGCATAGCAATCTTAGAATTCCAGCTCGTACCCGTAGCTACATCATAGTTCTGCAGGCATTTTATCTCAGATTATGCAGGGTACTCAAGCAAATACTAGTCTTGGATCAATTCTACGACCAAAAGCGCTCCTGGTCAGATCGTTGGAAGAGCAAAAGCACCAGGACAGCAGGGCACCAGCCTTGGACTCGTGGGCTCCAAACTTGTGAATTCCATTTGAGAAGTCAATGATCAAGATATCCGGTGATTGACCCGTCCGCATGTATGTGATCAATGTGATTACAAGCACAAGGATCCACGGGCAAATCCAAAGAGGACTCCCTGTAAACTTCAAACAGGGTTCATCGACAACAAGCACCTTTGTTGAACGCCACCTGGGATCACTTGCTCAAAGCCATTCCGCTCACTCTGCATGCGCAAAGGGGACCCCGACTGCCACACCCATCACCACCGAGCCAAACAAGACGACACCTGGATCCAGGTCGAAGAGTGAATGAGCAAAACCAATCAACGCTTCTGAAAGCACATGTGCGTTGGGGTCAAAAAAGCAAAGGAGAGAAAATACACTGACTTCACCACAAACTAAGTGGAGATGCACAACTTGTATAGAATGACAGTGGCAATATTGAAAGGGCAACACCATACATACCTGACGCTTGTTCATAAAAACATCACGCGCCTGATCACGTCCCAACTGCTGGGGTCTTAATATTCATTGCAAGTCTGAGAGAATGGAAGGCATGTCTTGGAGGATTCTTAGGTGCCCGAGCCGAAGTGACCAAGAATCCCCATGCTGATCAGCCTGCTTGGAAACACGGTGCATGCAAACATGGTAGAGGCGATCCATTACAGTCCGGAAATGTCTCACAAGTCTGACAAAAGAAGCAAGTCCTTGCCACACGGTCATCTAACCCCATTGGCTCACTTAACTTGAGACGTGACTAGTCGTGAATGATTCCCTAACAATGTCACGTCACTCTCGAATTAAAGATCTTCAAACCCTGCTGCAAGTGGTACCAATGAAGAACCTGGCTACCCTTGTATGTGGGGTGCACACGACTTGTTTTGCCACAAAGGACTTGGACTTTGTGAACTTAGGATGAGCATCGAAATCCTGAACTTGCATGCCTTGCTATACTTTCTCAACATACCCCACCATATGGTGAATGGTGACTAAAGTGATCAGCATTATAATGATTGTTGGATGATTCCAGCTATAAGATTGAACTCTGCCATTGATGTTCAACCCCACCAACCATCCCACAAAGTAATTCAACATGATCCACCTCACAGGATAACACCTGCCCCGCACTCTGTAAGGTTTTGATTGGTATTGAATTTTGTCGACACAAAAGTGGAAGGGTACCATTCTCTGGAATATCATCACTTTGCAGGTAAACAATGTCAAGAGGACATGACTCTTCCATGCACACAATAGAACTTATTGAGCCTAATGCAATTCTTTGTGGGCCCACCCATGCCCACCCTGTTAATGAAATTTGACTTTCCCGATCCTCTTTCCATTGCACATCAAACTTGGATTCCCCGGCCAGGGCTGCAGAAAGAAAGACCGTTGAACTCCCTTTTTCACAGGATCAATCAAATTGATGCTTGCAATTAGTCAGGCCATAGGTGGTGTCAAAAGAAACATAGGGTTTTGTCTGCAGGATTTCCTGGCAATAGACTAATATACGTCGGATGACCCTTAAGAAGAATCCCCCGCATTCCCACACAAAGGTGATGTAATCCCTTCCCGCCTCGGCTCCTCCTCATGCAAGTGATGTGTCAACCTCAATGGCCAAGCCTTCTCCAAAAACAAACAAATCTCATCAATCAGCAAAGCAATCATGTTCCCAAAGAACTGAACATGTTATCTTTCTATCTCAATCAAGTATGCAACACTTCATGCTGTTTTTCAGCAACCAAGGATGCCTTGAACGCAGCTGTGTACGGAGCGTGCGCTGTGTGAGTAAGCTGCTAGTGCATGGAGGCTTCTGTTGGACTGCTGTTTCTTTTAAAAAAGTTCCTTTAGACATTCACTTGATTGCAATATCGAGTGAAACGGCATTCAAACAGGGTTATTTGACAGCGGGGAACTTGATGTACGACCAGAGAACATGTCCAGCTAAGATATTTGATTGTACTGAAAGGGTGATCTGATCACTCTCATGCACCTGCTTCCATAGTTTTGATTGGAGGCTGTCAGCCTAAAACCTCTCTCCATACTCATGCGATTTGGAAAATGTCGTCGACCAGGCACTGCATGCATGCCATTTGTTTTGTTTCTGACTTTTCCATTCTGAGAGCAACTTCGGTCATGGTTTTGAAGCGCTCGAGTTAACATGATTCACACCGCTCGCAGCTCCGAAGGCCGTCTTCTCACAAAATTATTCATTATCTGAAAGTCGCGGACTTTTCGCGGATGTGCTTGAACCGCTATGTAACAAGTGCGTGTCATCCTTGTAGCAGGGTGTACATGCTATCTTCTGACACCCCGCCTTGAGAGTCGTCAGCGTCTTGGCGACTCTCACCTTTCTACAAAATTCTAAATTCCAGTGTGAAACATCCTAACTCTCAGAGTTGGTCTTCTTTGTGTCTCAAGCATTGATTGCTCTGCTGCTGACCTTTGACTCTGGAGTTCTGTTCTCTTTGTCGTCATCTTCTGCTGCATTGGGCTCTTCTTCAATCTCCACTTCTTCATACTCCTCACCATTTTCTTCTTCCACTTCGACTTCTTCGTTCTCTGAAGTCTCATTGTCATCTCCACTTGAGTAGTGCATTTCGATCCACGCATCTGGATCTTCACATTCCTACAGCTGCTCATCTCTCCTTTCTCCACTGGCTGCTGCAGCTACTGAACCTTCACTTGCTCTTTCTTCATCCACAACTGTCTCATCATCATCAAAGAAGTTGAGACTATTTCCACTTTCCATCCACTTGTTGAACGTGATCGTGGCTGCATTGTAGGCCCTTCCATCTCTTTTGCCGCAAAGCAACAGCAAATGCTGGAGGTACTTCAGGGTGTTCCTGGCGTCCTTGATCTCCTGTCGAAGTGCCGGGTCTCTCTGGTACTCGAGTTCTCTAATGAACTCGTTGAGATTCTTGCATGCCAAGGTCAGCGAAACCTCGGGACCATGGCCCTCATTCAGGAGCCTTCGCCTGAACTCTTCAAACTCCTCCTCATTGAACGGGATGCCATCTTCACCCCAGGGCAGCATTGCCTGGATGGATCCCAGGACAAGCCAGCCACGGCCACTATTGGCCTCATTGTTCTCGATCAGCTGCTGTGGCCTGAGACCGAAGTTCACTAGGTCTTCTGCCACCATGTCTGAAAGGCTCGGACGGAAAATGTCGTTCTCCATCATCGCCTCTCTCTCAGCCTCTGTTCCTCTTCTCCTGGGCGCCACCTGTTCTTGGCCCATTGAGGAACTCGGCTCCTCGCTTTCTTCCTCCTCTTTCATCTCATCTTCAACTTCCTCATTTCCTTCATCATCTTCAGGCGCTTCCATAGTGTGACCAGCCTCATTCTGCACACTCCTCTCTGGTCTTGTTGGTGCCTCTTCATCCTCTGCGGCCATTGTTGCTGCTGCTGTTGTTGCACTGCTTCCTCGACCGGCAGCAATGTCGCCATTCGACTTCTGTGCAATCCTTCTCCTTGGTCTTGGAGTATCATGTCTAGTGCCTGTCACTGGCACATCTGCGTACCATGGATTGTCATCTCCTGCACCAGGAGCATAGCCATGACCATCATCGTCATCATCATCATGTGGCTCGTCGTCGTTGTCATCGGCTTCATCGTCTGCTTCTTCTTCTTCACCCTCATTCTCTGCGTCAGCATCACCTGCCATCCTCATTGGATCTTCTCTTCTCCTCAAGTTCAACTCTGCTCTGATCTCCTTCCATGCGATCTTGTATCGTGACAGAGACGCTCGAAACTTCTGCAAGTTGAAAACCATCACTGACATCACAAAAAGAAGAAATAACACTGTGATGACCAACAACAAGATGCACCATGTGCACTGGCGCACTGTCGACTTCATTCTTTTAAACTGTCCTCTTCTGGTGCACATCCCTTCAACCATCCAGCCATCACCATCAACTGTACAATGCGCTGAACACTTGGTGTACTCACAGGTTGAAAGCTCTCACTGCATAGTCCAATGAGTTGTGCCAAGTATTCCCTTCGTTCTTTGCTGAGCGCCTTGGTGTTCAAATCAGCTGGGTTCTCCTTCGTTGGAATGCGACCAATCTTGAACCATCCTCTTCTCATCGCTTCTTGTCCCCACAAAATGCGGGTACAAAGGTGCTTGGCCCTGCCTGGGCCTAGGCGCTGGAAAAAGGCCTGAGCTGAAGTCGAATCCAGGTAAAGCTTCATCTCCACCTCAACATTATCACCTGGATCTTCTTTGCAACCAAGAAGGAATTGCAACGCCTGCTTCAAGGCTACTCCTTCAGCGAGAAGGCCTGTGGCGGCCAAAACCTCAGCCTCCATTGAACTCAGTGCCACTGACGTTTGTCCTCTGGAATGTGAGTGGACACAATTGCCGTTGTGGAAGATCAAACCTGAACTGGTGCTCCTTCTTGAAGCTTTCGAGGATGCCCAGTCGCTATCGCTGAACAGTTCCAACTTGTGGTTGCCTCCTCTCTTCATCTGCTCAGCTCTAAGGTTCTTCCATCTGCAGAAGACACTGTTCTGGCCATCATTCTTCTCGTACCTCAGCACCATGTCTTGTGTTGCCTGCAAGTAGGACGTGAGTTTCTTGATGGCTGCAAGTGCTGTCTTGGTCGGATTGGCCATGTACGTTGACAACAATCGTACACTGTGCTGCACATCAATCCTCTCTTGACTTAAGTAGAGGCATAGACCAAGGGCACTTCTAAACAACTTGCTGTCTTCAGCATTCAACCTCTCTTCCTCTGAGACCATTGCAGCATCGAAAACATCCAGGCTAGAGTGCGAAGGCACACCTCGGCCCCGCCTGTCCTGGATCTTGAGCATGCTGATCAACTTTGGCGCGTACTTGCCATTTGCAGCAATCTCCAAACCATCAGCATCAAATGTCAATCGTCTCTTGAGGTAAAACAAAGTCCCAGGTCGTGAGGTTCCATAGGGACCATCTGCTTTCAACTTCAGGAGCTTGGAGAAATGGCTGATGAACTTGCCATGCTCTTCCTCTGCTGCAACTAAGATGATGTCGTCAATGTGCACAGACAAGAACTGCTTTCCATCTTCATGTCTGTAGATCGTGCCTCCTCGAAATGGCCGAAACTGGAAGTCTGAACATAGGGCGCTGAAATGCTTGTGCCACTCTAAAGCAGCATTCCTCTGACCTGGCAAACAGCGCATCAGCTTCCAGAAAACTAGACCTTTGTTGTTCATGATCTCTCGGATCCATGTGGGCACTTCAATCACCACAAATTCCTTTTGGACAACCTGTAGGAAAGCATCAGAGATGTCCATCACTGAGATCATCAGGTCCATGGTCACGCAAAGTGACATCAGCAGTTTGATGAATGCCAAAGGGCTCGTAGGGCTGAAGGTGTCGATGCTGGATGCTGCTCCACTTCTAAACTCACGAGCAACCAACCTAGCCCTTCGGATCCAACTGCCTTCTCTGAACCTCCAATCGAAAACAACTCTTGTGTCCAGCTTCATGGCGTCGTCTACGTTCTCGCCTGCTTCCAAGTTGGCAATCACTTGCAGGTCATGAAGCCGGTTCACTTCATTCAGCATCGCCTGTGGGTCTAGGATTTGCAACTCTTCCACACTCACTTGTGGTGGACCATTGCCTTCATTGAAGAAGCCTCTTCTCTTCATCTCCTCCTGACTCATCATCTCTTCTGAACTCGATGGCATTGCTTGACTCCAATCGTAGGAATCCTCATCCTCCTCTGCTGCTACTTCTTGTTCGTCTTCATCGTACAGCTCAATGTCTTCGATTCTCCTCACTTGTCTCTCTTGGTCTTTACTCTCCTCCTTCTTCTGCGCTTTGGTCACCGGTTCTTGAGCTGGTAGGTCAGGATCGAAATGCACAACCTTTGCTGCACTTCCACCTTGGGCTTCCTCTTTCCTCTTTGTCTGAATCTTCTCGAAGCGTCCTCTCTTTGCTTGTCTTCACTCATCTCCTCTGCACTGACCTCTGCTGGTCTCTTCGTTGACTTGTCTGCTTCTGCCTGAGCGTCTCCAGCTGAAGCGGAGCGGAAGCGGATGTTGCCCCGCCTTGGTCAACATTTGTCTCTTGGACTTCAACCTCAATGTCTCTGTCCTCATCTGGATGCTCCTCAGCATACTTTCGAACATCATCTGCATCCTGATCTGCCTCTCCATCTTTCTTTTTCCTCTCCTTTCTGGATGCTCTCGGAGTTTCATCAGGCTTCGATGGGGCATCTGCTAAGAGCTCTGGTGTTGGAGTTGGAATGGGCTTTGTGTCGACCTTTGTGTGAACTCCTCTTCTCATGTCCCACGGGCCAACGATGGCGTTCACCAATAGCTCACCATTCCATGCTTCTCCTGTCTTTCGAACTGCCTTGCATCTCACCACCTCATTGTCGTTCACAAGGACAAGGTCGTGGTCCATGTGGTCTTTGCCCAACCATGCACCGGGCCTCCACTGCGACTTGTATTTGGCCTGAAGGGGATCTAGGCCATAGACCGTTTCTCCAAAGCAACATACTCGCCCTCTATATGGCCTGCCTTTGACTGACAAGTAGGCTGTCATTCCTGTTGCACTGGTGACGTGATACCTGTTGAGAAGCCAACAAGCATGTACAACAGCCCATGAGTGCAAGACATGACTCTCGTCGAAGATGATCTGGGCACGGTCTTGTACATGTGCAATAACTGTCTTTGCCTGTGCTCTGACTGTTTGAATGCACCGCTCTGCCAATGATGTTCGTGCCTTGTCATAGAACTTGCCAGCTTGAAGGATCGTGTGCAATCCGTTGTTGCTCCTGATCAACTTGGCCATTCTCGCACCAGCAGCTAGCACCGGCTCACTATCATAGGCCAGTTCCACTGTCTCGTAATGACCCAATGTTGCCATGAACTCGGCAATCGCCTCACCGATCACTCCTTGGTTCTTGTTCTTCAAGGGTTGTACCTGCAGGAACTTGCTCCACACATCAACGCGCAGTAGAAGACTGTTGCTAGCTGTCTGGAAGAAGATATCCACCTGAACAGTGGGGTGCGTCCTCTCTGAGACATCTGCAGGATCGCTGGCATACTTGATGTTTGCCTTGCTTTTGCCCATGACGCAAAAGCTGCACCATCTCTTGAAGGGAAGGTGAGTAACTTCATGAAGCTTCCTTTCCTTCTCTGTTGGTTGAACTGGAGCGTCAACAAATCTTGGCTCTGGACACAGCTTTGCATAGTCTTGGCGAGCGACCTCAAGTGCACGTCTCTTCAAAGACTGCTCATAGGCATCTCTGATCCTGTTGAAGATCTTCGTCTTGGAACCTGAACTGCTCAACTTCAAGTACCTTGCTGCTTCTCTGAGGTCCTTCACACTTGACCTCTCTGTTAGCTGCATCTCGCCAATGAACAAAGTGTCCTCTGTGCCTCTAGGTTTGAACGAAGGTGCAATGATCGGGAACTCTGGAATATCTTTCCCTTCAATCTCTTGCTCTTCAACCTTCTCACCTTCTGCTTCCTCCTCCATCTGAACCTCTTGCTCCTCTTCTTGCTGTGCTTCAGGTACTCCTCCAATGAGCGTCCCAAAGCTGCTGAGGTTCTCCTCACGATCTGACAGAATGGTCAAGATCACGTACTGTTCACCTGAAGGGATCTCGGAGATTCGACCGAACGGGTTCTCCTGTTCCAGAAATCTCTGGGCAACTTCAACAACCTGCCAACCTTCTTCTGGATTAATCACCTTCTGAATCAATGTTGTACGGAATGCAAAATTTGCTGACCAAACTGCTCGAGGGTCGGCGAAGTGAACTCCAACGCTCCTCATGTGGGGATGATTGTTTGTGACATCCCACCGGCCATAGGGCAGCTCAGACTCGTAGTTCGGACTGAGCCTGATCACTGCCCTCACTTCATACAACTCTTGGTCAATCTCTGTTGCTGTGACCTGACAGATCATGGCCTCGATGGCAAATGAGTTGCGTTGGAACACCGCTGGAATCTTCGCCTCTTGGTCTGGGGAAATCAAGAACTGCTCTGAGCCATCGCTCTTCAACATCCATCCGCTCTTGTAGAGCTCACCCAAGGACAAAATGCAGTTGTGAACATTCCGAACCAGGAACCTGTGGTGGATCTCAACTTCTTCTCCAGAATTGGCATCGAACACCACCAACGTTGCATCTTGCTGTCCTGCAGTCCTTAGGCTTGTTCCTTGGCAATCTTGCAGTCGAACGTTGCTTTCACCAATGTTCTCATTGGCGTAGCTCAAGGGCAACAATGAGACATCTGATCCACTATCAAGGATCACCACATTCCTGCAAGTCTCAACAACTTCTGCTTCATTGACCTCCTGAATGACCACGCAAACAGAACTGTCAGCATAGGTGCTCACTGACGGCGGACCAATGTGGAAAATTCTCCTCACTGCAGTGTTCAAGGTCGATGCATTTGAAGCACTAGCTGTTGTATTTGTTGCTGACATCTGTCGACCTTGCTGCTGTTGTTGAATCTGTTGTTGCACATTGGTCTCTGTGATCTGTTGCACCCTCTGTGGACAATCGCGGCTCCAATGACCATAGCCATAACATACTCTGCACTGGTTTTGACCAACATCGGAACCTTTCTTGCCTCTGCTCTTACCCTTCTGTTTGCCTTTCGACTTGCCACCTTGCTTGCCCTTGTACTTTCCTTTCGACTTACCACCTTTCTCAAACTTGCCTTTGCCCTTCTGCTGTCCTCCACGGCCACCAAAAGGAAACTGCCACCAACTCTTCCCTTTGTCCTTGCCTTTACCTTTGTACTTGCCCTTTCCTTTGCCTTTCTCTTGAATTCGGTCAACTTCCATCGGCATTGGGCCATTTGGATCGGGCCTCACATTCAAGGACTTCATGATCGACTCCTGCGACCATGTTTTGCTTGCCTGCTCATGTGACAGAACAGCTTCTCTGATCTGGTTGTAGGTGGTCGTCTCCTTGATGGTGAGCTGGAGGTGTTCTCTCAACCTATTCTCACTGCACCGAATCAATGTTGCTGCTTTCAACTCTTGTGGATACGTCGTTCCTGACATCTTCTCGAACTCTTGCACCAACTGCTCATAGCTGAGCACATTATCGAGCACTGTCTTGTCCTTGGCGAACTGCGGGTAGCTCGCCAGAGCCTGTGCGAGGGCCAGACTTCGTGCTCGAGTGCTTGGAAGGTATTCCTTGTGAAGCTCCTTCCACAATGCGAAACCATTCCGCTGCTCCATGCCTGATCTGACCAGGTGCAAGCATCGTCCTTTGAGGTAGCTGGTCAGGATTGCAAACAACCGAGTTGAAAACATCTGCTCATCCTCTGTGTATGCAGACATTGCCGGCATGTGCTCTAGCTCCTCAACCTTCTGCAGAAAAGCTTTATACTTCGGCTCTGCAAATGTCAGCCAGCTTGTGAACACAAACTTCCAAGTCAAGAAGCCGTGAGGATCACTTCCGTCAAAAGTGTCGGGGTTTCTTAACACCTTGGATGCTGCTGTCAATCCAGCCTGTAGTGTTCCAGCCACACCTGAACTCGAACTTGAACTCGAAGCTCCACCTGCCGCTTGCATTGCTGTCAACGCACGTTCAGCCGCACTTGCTGCATTTGTAGCTGCAGCTGCAAGTTGCGACATCTGCTGGAAAAACTGTTCATCAGCTTGCGTGCACTGAGTGGATCGCATCAAGCTCAGGAAAACCAGCGTTTGTATCTGCAACCTGCTCTCACTCTTCTTCCTAGCTACTCTCTTCCTGTCCATCCTGGAAGACCTCTTCTCACATGCTGTCCAGCTCAAGCGGTTCAACGACCAGGTGAACAGCAAGCTGAAGATCCATGACACCCAACAGCCTGCAACACCTGTCCTCATCCACACGCTGCTCAAGGCCATCGTGCACCAACCTGTCAACTCTTCGGCCAACAATGCACGACTTGTCTGAACAACTGTTTGCTCAAGCTGCTTCAACATCTCCTTCACCCTCAACACAGTGCTTATCAGCTCGTAATGCCTCTGATTGCGAATGAACTGCCATTGCAAGACCTCCTTCAAGAAATCTCTGCTCTCGCTCATCGACCAAGCCAACAAGCTCATGGCTTCAACAAACCTGTTCATCTCTGCCAGGCTCATCTCCTTCACTCTCACAAGTTCATCTGTCGAGCTTTCAGCACTAGGGTTCAAGTCCTCTGCTGTTGAACTGTTGTTCATCTCCTCGGTGAAGATCTGCCTGCTCAAACCTCTCGCGCTCACTGGCCATGTACGGTATGCCATGACCTGCTCAACTCCACAGTTCATATGGCTTGTGGTCATTCCAAGGAAATCCGTCTCCTCGTTCACAACCTCGCATCTCTTCACCTGTCTGCCACCTGACTCACATCCTCCTTCTTCTCCCTTCATTCTCTGTCCTCAACTCAAAGCTCATAGCTCCGTTGTCCTGCGCATAGTCAGGCTTGTAGGCCTCAAACCTACTCTCCATCGCCCACCAGGCCTCAAACCCAGTTTCCTCCTCTTCGCTCAGCATGACATCACACACCGAGTCACAAGTCCACCATTGACTCGTCGAATTGTAGTCCCCGGAGCCTTCAGTCCTCAAGCTTTGAGTTCTGCTGATGGTGTCGGGACTCCACACCTCAGCCTTCTCCATGAAGTGCTCCGCCGGCAGGAACATCACCTGCAACGTGACATGGCACCACACGAGGATGCGGCCCGGTAGCATCATCGCACTGGACAGAACCAGTGCTCCGCTACCATCTGAAAGTCGCGGACTTTTCGCGGATGTGCTTGAACCGCTATGTAACAAGTGCGTGTCATCCTTGTAGCAGGGTGTACATGCTATCTTCTGACACATTACCTCAACATCCAAAAACTCTTCCTCACTTATAAGTATGCAGTGTGTGTATGTATGACGGGTGGTAGACTTGGAACTAAGAGTAACCCCAAAATCTTCGTCCTTGGAAACCAAACACTCAATTGCTAGGCCAAAATATGTTTTTCAACTTAGCTGCTTCGTGTACTTGGGCCTCCGGGCGTAGAGAACAAAACAATGGCCACGGCATCGTTCAAAACGGACTCGCCTGTGCGGGTAAGCCCACCTCACCATTTATTTGTACCGAAGGCAGCTTCTGTTTGTAATATCAACTCAACTGTAGACCCCCGTGCGGACCTTTCTGCCCTTGCAAATCATTGCAAAAACTGGCTGAAGCACTGCCCTGATCAAAGCGCCGAAGAAAAACAACTAGCATTTCCGCAAGTAGACAGACTTCGCTTGAAAACACAAATCCCCACATGGTTGGTCTACATTGAACCCATACCTCTCCTATCCTCTCATATACAGGAATAAGGTATATGTTCGCCCCCACACAACCAACTTCCCATCTTGCTAGAGTTACCAAAAAGTTTGGAGTTGTTTACGATGAGAATGTACATGTCGCTGACTTGATCTTAATATATAAAATCTATTCTTTTGTAAGGATCAAAACTTTGGAAATTCTTGAAACATCTTTGCCCTGCAAAATTACGATCATTGAAGGGATGAGCGACTGTTTGAGCAGAAAGGGGTAACTATATAACATGAAAGAACAATACGTTATGACGTACATTGCAATTGTAGCAAGAAGGCTTTGGATGAAGCGGGATGCATTTTATACAGTATTATACAGTCAGACTCTACCACACATGAGAATTGCGCAAGGGAGAATCGCATTGTATGATAGAGGAGGGTGTTGGATCAAGTTGTATGCATTTTCGTTTGGTTAAATGAAAATGGTACAAAGGAGAATCGCCATAGGACGCGCCTTATCTTCACAGGACCAGATTGACATTAAATTTGAGAGCGGGCAGTTGTGGCGCTGCGCTTGTTCAGCACTTTGAGGTAGTGATTGATCATCTGTCATGTGAAAAGCCTTGCATCAACATCAACGTTCTTCCTTTCCTTCGTTCACAACAATCTCTTTCTTTCTCAATTGGACTGGATATTTTTGTTCAACAATTGAACGACATCCAAAATTTGAAAGACCCCGAGACTCTTGGATTTCTAGGCGCTTTTTTAAACAATACATTTTCCAAAAATGCGCCACACCCCACAGGACAGTCCCCAAATATTGTGATTTTTGTACTTTCAATGGTTTTTAATATCGAGTAGTTTTCAATTTTGGTTATATCTTTCCCTTGGTTCTCTGTGTTTTGGACTCTCCAAATGAGTGACAAGTGCATCAATTTGATTCGACACATGCACACACACACACACATATATATACACATATGTATGATACGCCCTGTCATCCAAAACACACCTGAAACGAAACACACACACACTTGAGAAGGTTGCTCCGTGGAGCTTGTCTTCAGGCTGTTCGCGGTGAGCATTAGCACTTTATATTTAGGTACTGCATTGGCCGAGAGCATTAGCACTCTATTGCAAAATCAACGTATGAGACAGCGTTGAACTGACTTAGAAGCATCAATGAGTGAGAATTAAAAATTGGAAAAATGCAGGTACGTTCGGATGATCAGTCCGAATATCCCACTCTGTGACCTAGCTTCGTTGAATTGGGTCAGTCACAGAGTGCCCAGTTCCCCTGCTGGTGCTGTACAAAGGATCGTAAAGTCATAGGAATAGAAATAGCTAGAGAAGTGTCCTTGGAAACAGGAGTGGACACACACACACACTGAGAAAGGATTTTTTGTGGTGGAGCTGTGGAAAGGTGTCAAAGCCCAGAACCCCCTGAGTCCACAACCTTCAATGTATGTGTAGGGGCGACGCCGTCACGAACGTGTGAGAACATCTGCCGACCTCTGAAACCTCACCAGCCTGAACTCTAGAGTGGTATGTGATTACGCAAAATCACAACTTTCAGCAGGTACACGGAGGTGATCAATCTCCGCTTCCCCCATCATGGAACAGCTTCGTTGGCACAGGCATCCATGATGGGCCTGTGCCCCCTGCTATGCAAATGATCGAATGTTTGTGAACATGTAACGTTCTACGGGTCAACCGCTTGTGATAGTGGGTTACACTCAAAAGTCATGAGCACTCAACAGCATTCCCCGATAAAACCTTGACAAGGGTAGGTTTTGTGATATAATGGCGTGACCATATAGCTCACGCCCCCCCCCCTCAGAACCAACCTTTGCAGCCAAAAAACAAACCTGTGCGAAGGATTCCAACTTAAGATGTTGTGTTTTCAACAAAAGGTTACAGTATCTTACAACCTCTTCTGCAAAGAGAGTGCCATCTATACAGTTCAGAAACAGGCTTTGGTGAATGCAGGACAGGACAGGATGCATTGCAGAAGCACACCAGGAAACATTGATGTGCATCACTGCATCACAGACAATTGCTTGAAATCATAGTTTCCAGGAGGAGCACCACCCTCCAGGAAATTCTTGAGCGTGGGCTTTGAGGAGTCTAAGAGAACGTCAAGCTTCTTCCAGGGAATCCTCCGCACATCGATGGGCTCCTGTGAAGGCAGGCGGAAGTACACGAAGCTTTTGGAGAAGACGATGAAGGCACTGCGTTTGAGGATAGCCATGCCATCTGTCACAGCAATGTTCCCCAAGGCTGGGCGGATCATCTTGTAGAAGTCCTCATGCTTGATGGTGAGAGCCGCATCAGTATGATCATCCACAGGTTCTGCTTCAGGGTTGTAGGCATTGTCCAGCACAATGCGGAGTTGATTGCGGACAAATTTTGCATTTGTCCATCTTTCACGGGTCATTGTCTCATCATCGGCCACATCACAAAAAGCCTTCTTCTTCTTCTTCTTCACAGATTCACCTCCAATGTCTCCATCATCATACACCGCTGGGATGCATTTACTGAATTGGATGCCACAGACCGGTACAAGCCTTCTCCACCATGGAACCTAGAGAAGAGCATGGCTACGATGCGGCCTAATGGAGTCTTCCCTTTGCCTGGCTCTCCCAAGAGCCATAGAGCATGGTTGCGCCAGTGTGGAACAAGGACCTCGAGGACGTCCCGAATCTCTGGTTCTACATCTCTCATGGTCAGGTCATACCTGGTGCAAAGCTTGGCTACGCAAGTGTCATTCTGTAAGCTATCGAGCGCTTTCTGCACCAGCTTCTCGGACCGTCCGCAAATGGGAGAGTCAGGGTCATTGATCTGGGAGTAGATCCAGCGGAGCTGCCTCAAATTGCTCTTGTCAAGCTCGCCATGCTCCATGATGAAATTCCAACCGGCTTCTTCTGGTTCAGGAGCCGATGACTTTGATGGTTTGCGTTCAAGAGTCAATGAGTACTGCAGAAACTGCGACCCTCCCAGCTGTTCAAGCATCCATTGAAAGGCCTTACGAACTAGCTTCTTGTTGGAGGTTCCCCATTGGATCTCGTAGCCTGTGCCTTGAAGCAACAAAGCAATGGAGGAGCCTTTGACTTTGTCGGAGAGGACGTAGACATGCTTCAAAAGGCAAAAACTCTCGTCTGATTGTGGCATCAGGAAGAACTGCGTCTTGTATTCAAAGGTCGGCCGTTGCTTCATCTGCATAAATCCAGGCAAATCGTGCCATGCCTGGTCACGAAAGACGGCTTTCAACTGAGGCAGGTCTACGTCGGCGGCGGGAATGTCGAGAACTACGTCCACAAAGTGCTTCAAGTTCGAGCTCTCTGGGTCCAAGTCCTTCAAGGGGAGATCTGTGATGGTGACAGCACCAGGAGGTTGAGGGCCTACAACTACATGCTGGGGCAGGTCACGCAAGGACATCGCACTAGTTGCCTGTAGTGCAGCCTCCAAGCTCACATTAGAGGGGTCGACTGACACCATGTTTCCACAGAGACAGGGAGAGAAAGGTCAAAAAGGCCACAGCGGATGCCGGTTGATTTGAGCTTCTAAAATGGCGGCAAACTATGTTTGATGATCACACGAGCAATTGGCAACATGAGCGCAATGTCAAATCAATGAAATCTGGCTTGGCTGCACTGTTTGCATCTGCACTGTGTCCAAGCTGGTTATGATCAGACAGGTGTTGAAGACTTTTGCTCAGACAGACAGAGCGGAGCAAGCAGATGGGGTACCAGAGACGGTTTTTGCAGTGTCCTTTTGTATGGCAGATGGGGTACCAGAGAAGGTTTTTGCAGTGTCCTTTTGTAAGAAGATGAACTTATATATGTGGCCACCCCCCCTGCAAAAAACCAAAAGCCAACTAACAAAAAGATACAGACCCCAGGGACCAAACCAAAAACCAAAAACCAAAAAAATCAGACCCAAAAACAAAAACCAAAATTTGGGTTTTGGTTTTTGGTTTTTCAGAAAACCAAAAAAACAAAAATCAAAATTTGGGTTTTGGTTTTTGGTTTTTCAGAAAACCAAAAACCAAAAAAACAAAAAAAATCAGACCCAACAAGGAACACCAAAAACCAAAATTTGGGTTTTGGTTTTTGTTTTTTTGAAAAACCAAAAACCAAAAAACCCAAAAAAACTGACCCAAGAGGCCAGACCAAAACCAAAAGGGGCATGTTATTTTTTTGTTTTTTTTGGTTTTTGGTTTTGGGTCTGGCCTGTT